TGCAGAAAAGAGGAAAGGTTGTGAGAAGTATTTTCATGAGTGTGTGTGTGTGTGTGTGTGTGTGTGTGTGTGTGTGTTTTTGCAGAGTGACCTAACTCAGGACATCTCCACCTCGGTGCTGTGGGTCAACAGTAAGCCCCATATGATCACTCTGGACTACACCATCCACGTGCCCAAGGCCGCCCTCCACAATCTCCCTGAAATCAGGTAGGTCAGCACTCAGAGGTGTGAGCACAAAACGCTCTGTAGATAATTTGTTAAACATCTACAGAGAAAGCGAGACAGTTGTAATGTGACAAATACTCTATAAACTGTCTAAATCAATCAATTGAGTAATTGCTAATGGATAAAATAAGCATACATTCCAGGGAATTAAATATCTGGAAAATCTAATTATTTACTCAAGTTTATGTAAAAGTTATTTAAGTTATTAATCCCATCCAGTAGACCCAGAGATGTGATGGGGTAGCTACCAAATTTACACTAAAGTTTCCTAACTAGAACCAGGGAAGATTGGGTTAATGTGGTATGCGTCTTAAACACTCGGCTACTCGAGCCTTCGTAAACATGTATTTGTTAGGATCTCATTAGGGATGGGAATCGAGAACCTGTTCCAAATTGTCCGATCCATTGGAATTGTACGTCACTGAGCTTTATCGATGGCAGCATGTTTTTCTGACAGTTTGGCATTGCTAAACAATGACATCAAACTCTGTGTGGCTGGAAACTTTCAACAAGAAGAAGTAATTGTGGAGAGGAAGAAATGGTCAAAAGTAAGGGCTTCATTTCACCAAGAAACTCAAACTACTGTAACTCTCCTCTGTTTCTACACTGTGTTCAGACTCAGAAATAATAAAACAGTTGCGTTGATGCTGAAAACGTCTGTAGACCTACTTCAGGGATCAATAGGGTAATGGACAAAGAATTGGACCAATAAGCAGAATCAATAATAGGGTACCATTCCTCCCATCCCTAGATATAATACTGACAGTAATGTGTGAGCCTTTGCACATTAGATATTTGTCTCACAGTCTGGGTTGTTATGAAGACTGAAATCCCTCACAGGCAAGAACGATGGACTCTCTCTCCGGGCACGTTAGACACAATAAAAAGTACCTTTTGTTATGTGGTTGGAGGAATTCTGACATGTGCTTGCTCTGTTGGTCCCCCCCAGTAAATTCCGTCTGTCCTACTACCCTCATCGCCTGGAGAGCTTCAAGGCTTTGCTGAACGAGGCCTTCAACGGCAAATTGGAGCACAGCGTCTACGGAGATTTCCAGACATACGTGGCTGGCCAGAGCCAGGCCCCGTGCTACTTCATCCATGTTTGTAAGAAGACAGCCTAAGAGCCCCACCCACCAACTTACTGCAAACACACGAAAACAATAGCTCTCTCTTCAAGTCCCAATATGCTCCTACAGTCCTCCAGATTTAGGCAAAATTATATTTGAATATGTTTTAAAAATATTTAATTTTTTAGGAATGCTGGAAAGTAAACTAGATTTTGGTACACTGACTCTTTAGTCACTTTACCTGTCATGATCACATTGGCACTAAAATCATCCTAGTTTGTGCCTGCAGCGTCTGGTGCTAATACATGTGCATTCACAAGGGTGGCAGTGCCAGTAGGTAGCTGGCATTATTATCATTATATAAGAAAACATATTGTTGGTGGTTTTTTTATGCCCTGGAAAGTTGTAATTCGTATAATTGGCTTCATTTTCTCTAATCATTTTAAAATGATGTTTGCTAAAATGTTGCGACAGAGCCTCGTTGACTTCATTAGAACAATTGGTTGATTCTGATCTCTCTCAAAACACAATGTGTTTCTTAAACTCCCAAATAATCCCTTCTACTAAACTAGTCTAAAAAGGTCAAACCTAGTTTGAAAAATATATTCCAAATATATCGGACCAGTGTTTTGCCCATATCTGATTTTGTGTTTTCCTCGTTTCTGTTTCTTCCCTGCTTCCCTCCTCTCTGAACTTTGATATCCTTAGTGAACATGTTTTTAAATGGTGCTGCACATTAGTGATATTCCTCATGATGGAGTACTTGACAATAATCGCCAGTAATGTACAAAGTGCTACGATACATTCTTAGACAATTGTATTCAGCAAGTTTACCACAAGAGTCTTAAAAACACAGATAAAGCATCTGTGTTTTGTGAATTTTATTTGTATTTTTGAGCTGGCCTAATGCCTTTCTTTAAGCTCAGGCACAGCATAATGGCAGTTGGAATATTTCTGTTCATTAGCCTTTTGAACCCCCATATTCAACTTTTGTCTTGCTCAATTGTAATCTCGCACAGTCCCTGTCGTCACTTAAATAAGACCAGAGAGCTTGTGAAGATTGTCAATCACCCTGACACCTTAAAAAAAAAAAAAAAACCTGGTTAACCTGTTTGGAGTGTCACACTGTCTGTCAGTCCAGTCAAGGTTCCTCCACCCTGAAGTGTCCTTGACTACCTCACCAAATCCCTACCAGCTCCAGAGACCTCTGACCTCTCTGAAGCTGAAGCAATTTTCTTTAACTGATTTCTTTTGTCTCATATTTTGTAGTACAATTCAATTTTTACTTTATTTGAGCCAAAAACAGCCTTTACATGTTCTGGTCATCACCACTGATGAACTTACAATAGGCCAGGAGTGAGTACCAGCCGTCATAGGTCACATTAAAAACTAAAGTCCCATTGAGGATTCATCCAAAACTACTAACAGAATCACTTTATGAATACTCAAAAAGCCAGTGACTCTAAGCTGGGTTTAGCAAACTGGTTCCAAATGCAAACAGTTGCATTGCAGTAATAACTTGGAAAACCTAACACAAATTGTACCAACCAAAGATGTTTGAAGAGTGTTAATTTCTTTTGCTCAATCTTCGATTTTCTTTTTTTTCTTTGTCAAAAGTAGGAAAAACTTGAATGTTATGCACTTGTGCTGCACAGTACATGTCTCAAATAATTTAGTTTACCCAAATAATGAGAGGAGCATGGTGGAAGAATAATTTATTTTGCTGTATTATCCAGGTCCAAATACATTTTGCTTTGATACCAAATTAAAAATGTGCTTTTCATTGGGATGAATAAAGGAGCTCTACCCCTGCTGTTTGCCCAAGCAAGACCGCGTGATGCATTCAAATGTTGTGCCAGTGCTTCTTGTAGAACATAATGTATGGTACGTGGCAGTTTGTGACGAAGAGTAGGTTCACAATGTGGTAAGAATGGCTGGATGTTTGAGTGGGTTTGAAAGTTTATGTAGAGATAAAACTATTTCAGAACAGTCTTATTATGTTTCCAATTCTCAAAAAAAAGTGTAAAAATGTTCATTATTGGCATTGATTATTGGAATTCTTTTGCATGAAATAAAAAATAATATTTGAAATAAGAAACCTGATTGTCACATTTTTGTTTTTAGTGTTTTAGGATGTGCATACAGTAGACTTAATATTCAACAGGAAGCAACATAAAGTGGATTGTGCTTTTTTTAAATAAACAGCATTTGTTTGTCCATGTGGAAGGCATTACGCAGATACTGTGTGTGTACAGTGGAACAATTGGTTCTCACAGTGTTTCTTTCTAATTTCTCTAAATGTGTCAGCTCATCGACAGTATCTACTACAGTAGGTGGGTTGTGTGTTATGTTTGGTGGCAGAGCCTGAAAAGACACCCATGTGTGTCTCTAATCTTACACGGGGGTTCTGGTTGTATGACCTCATGTTGTGCAGTACAAGAAAATGATCCCCTTAAACCATCAAAGGTCTAAGGAACTTTGTCGCTGAAGTTCAACATTTTGACTCTGTATTTTAGTTATTTTTTTATTTAAACAGTAAAAATATTAAAGTCAGATATCCTACGCCAGTGTATTGGTGCCTCGCCAGAAAAGGAAAAATGGATCAGTATCATATTATGAGGTGAAAAGTTTGTTATAACAAGATATTTTCACATTATTACATCATACAAACTTATCGCGTTATCACAAGAAGCATTTTTTGTTATAAAAATATACTGTTTATCTTGTTATAATGTAAAATGCTTAATGTGATAACTTATTGCTACACTTAGAATTTTATATTGATCCATTTTTCTTTTTCTGGTGTGGCAGCAATACACTTCTGTAACAGCCTACTGGGTGATATCAATCAAAAGTCAAAGTAAAGATCAAAATGTCCATATTCAGGAGTTTGTCACTGTTAGTTTTCACCTTTGTACCTTTATTCAGAGTGACTAAGAAAAAGTATTCAAAAACTGAACAGTTAAGACAAATAAAATCAGAATAACAAGTTTGTCCAAATTGCCAAAAACTCTTTTGACATGCTACAACTACAACGATCATTTCTATATATTATATGATGATAATTTCCAGGTTATTCCATAAAAATGAGATCCGAATACCCTGATAAAAAAGCTTTATTGTCCTCTACGTGCAGAATACAGGTTTGACACAAGGGGGCGGTATTACATTACATGTAATTCTTGAAACGCAGTCAAAATCCCAAAGACAAGGGCCAAACTTCATTACTAAACTTCTGTGTTTTGTCTTTCTACATGATCAGTTTTATATTATATCATTGTGTTTGTATAACTTAATCTGAGCAAGTTTTAAATGTCCAATTTGATTTTAATGACACTGTTCTGTTCTTGATTATTTTTATTGTGATTGCTGAACTGTTTTATATCTCGCTTAAAAGACCCATGGCCTTCACATTTTGTTTACTTAGTCTGACTTTACTTTTTTGTGTAAGATTGAAACCTATAAGAATCACTGTTCTTAACCACTAGCTCTCTTTCTAGATGCTGCGGCAACAAATTCAAAGAACACTAGAAAATTCTTTACTGCAATAAAACATACAACTTCTGACATTTTGTCAGTGAGTGACATTTCCTCCCTTGTCTGTCTGACCTCTGAACATGAACTTGCTCACCATCATCGAGCATGGCTTCCCTAGAGTGGAACGTCTGGAGCTCATCTCATCTCAAGTCTCCGAGGTATGCTATCAGACTCTGTGGTAGACGGCCGTGCAAGGAGCTGATACACAAACCAGATGTGAGAACCGTTTGCCAGATGTGGCTGCTCTGCTTTGCTTTGCTCCAGTTAGGGGAGTCAAAGTGGTCAACCATGACTGGCTTTACTGGGGAGGATCGCTTTCACAGCACGTCATTGGCCAAATCAAACAAAAACAGAGAGAGCTGAGAGAGACAGATTGGCTGGAAAGAAGGAGATGAGTAATTATGATTAATGCTGATTATCCTGAAGAGCCTTTAAAGGAGAGAAGAAGAAAAGATGTGAAATGAACTATTTATACCATATGTTCTCGTTACAAAATCATTTATTAAGTCTGTATGTGAAGAGGAAATTGTTTGTGTGATGTTTAGAATTGTGGAAGTGTGTATCTGGGCACTTCCACATTGAATTCACTGCTCAAATTTGGGTTTTCTGGCCCCCAGTGGTGAGAGTCTTCACAAACCTACAGTATTTGTGATATGACTGACTGATTCCGATACAGTGTATACACACCCAGTCATCCAGCTGTTACATATTTTGTCTTTCTAAACCCCTCAATGTACGGTGGGACATTCCCCAGTAAAAGAAAGTGAAGCAACAGCAGTTTGTTTGGAGTTAATCTACTGTAACCAGACTTGCATCTTGTAGAGCTCACGGAGGTCTGGAAAAATTCAAACACATATTTTGGTTAAAAGGACACAATGTTCTGTTACAAACCATTGGAATTACACTACGGAGAACTTGTTTGTAACTAACATGGCGTAAAAAAAATGGGTAATTTCAAGTCTTGTTGGAACTCTCTTTCTTCTATTGCATGGGAAAGACCACATTTACTGTTTATGTGTCACTAATCTATACTTTTATTTAGACAGTGGGCATATAATGAGAAAGGGGTTGTACATAGTAACAAACCCACAAAGAATTGTCACCTAACTCTACACTTGCCATCAGCTCTGTTTTAGCCTCTTTCAGGTAATTGTTTTGGTTTTACAGCCCTCAATTTGACTGTTTTGGTTCCCTCTCACCCCCACACTCCCTGTCAGTGGCCACAAACACGACTCCAAATAATTGCTATTAATGTTGCTCTGTGTCTGTCGTCTGTGTAAATAGTTTGCTAACATTAGCCATATCAACTATGACTATGTGATAATTAGTCAGTGTTGCATTTACACCTTTATTCTGCTGTTGCCAAGTGGCTAATCCAATAATGTATATCCCATGGAATATGGGATATACACAATTAGATTTCTTGCCAAAAGTAAGACGAGTATCAATACCACTCATTTAACTATAGACAAGACAGTGAGTAAGGGTGTTCCCAAAATATCAAACTATTCTTTTAAGGAAATACAAGTTTTTGTTTTTTTTCCCCTTAAAATATAATTAAAGCTGCACTAGGTAACTTTTATAGACATAATAATTTCAGAACGAGAATAGACACTTTGGGTTGCTTTCTTGAAGACAGCTGATAGTTGAGTCTCATTCCCAGTGTCTCTTATTTGACAAACTGGTAATGAAACTCAACAATGACTTATCTTTCTTGGCTCTGATTGGTTGTTTTTGTTCAGGCCTCTGGATTCTTGCAAAGGCATTAGGCGCACTAGTATGAGCCAGAGGAACCTAATAAATTCACAGATTATCTGTCTCATGTATTACTGCCAGGGTGTAGTGAAAGTTTCAGTAAATATAGCAAGAAGTTATTTTTTACAAAAGTTACCCGCTGCAGCTTTAATCATATTTTTTAGATAGAAGAATAGTAACAATATTCACCAACTTAGTGGGAGTTCTGGGAGAAGAGTGGGAAAAATAAATAGAAGAATGTCTGATGACTTTCTTAAAATAGGAATGGACATTGGAAGAAAACAATAGAAGGTGAGAAACAAGAAATAATAAAACTGCCAGATCTTTGCCAACAAAACCATCCAACAAAAACTTTAACAGAAAAAGCCAGGAGTACTCAGGAAACATGTAAAGAGGTGAAACCGTTGAAGTGAGAGTGGAAAAAGAGACAGGAGGAATCCAGAGGTGCTGAAAGAGAAAAAGCTGAAGAGAGGAGGGGAAAGAAAAGTCAGACAGCATCTAACTGGCTTCAGTTGCTTCCACTGCGAGCTGCCAGATGATGATTTTCCAGATGTTAGAGGTAGGGGAAGAAAAGGGAGGGCATGTGGAAAAAAAAAAAAAAGCAAAATTCTGAATTTTTTTAACTTCTCTTTTTATTTGTCTTCCTGTGAGTTTCCAACGTGCTAAGTGGCTGCACGCACTTCAACAAGGTGAGGGCCTCTGAGTGCTTTGATAGCCTCTATTAGCCTCACAGCACTCGCAGAAACAATAGATGTAGAAAAAAAAACTGATGGCTTGCTATAAACTCACTGAACTGCTTTCTTTCTCCTCCACCTCTCCCCTCTTTTTTACTTCTTCCTCCCACATCACTGATCGTTTTCTTTCCAGGGCGCATGAGAAATGATGTTTTTATGTGAGTGTGTGTGTGTGTGTGTCATGTGATTCCTTAGTACTAAGAGCCTGGCTCTCATTTTTCAATCCCCCTATGTGTGTGTGTGTGTGTGTGTGTGTGTGTGTTGAGAGGCAGAGGAGCAAGACTAAGGAGTCCCAGCTGTCTCCTTCCCAGCTGCCACGGCTTGACTCCTGATGAGAAAACTGGACACGGTGAAAGAATAGATAATCTGATGTGTGTTTTGTTGTATATTCACCTCAGTAACACCTCTGTTTGTATGTATGCCCACTTACTGCGATGTACCACGCAAGGTACAAATTAGTACAAATTCCAGGTACTTGTACTTTGCAAATCATATTTCCATTTTATGAAACTTTATATTTCTACTTCACTACATCTCAGAGGCAAATATTGTACTTTTTACTCCACTACAGCTTTAGTTACTTTTCAGATTTCAATTTGTCCTACCCTTCCTGTCCAGTGAAAACCATGCACTCCACATTTTGATTTTGAATGTTTGTGATAAACTGCAGGATTAAGTGTTCCTTTACGAGTTGATAAAATTGTCCCACTTCTTAAGCTAAATAAACTATTTTAAACCCTCTCGCATCAGCTGGAAAATTCATCATCACAAAGCTGAAAACGGGGCTGTTTTTCTGAGCTCACATAAAGTGGACATTTTAGAGGTACGTGGCTTCTCACAGGACAGCAATGCTACAAACATATGATAATCTTATATAATATGATGCAGTACATAAAGTAGTTAAAATTACCTAAACCGTCTGCAGTAGTAAAATGAAACATGCACATTAATGCAGCAGTAATGCAGACCGGTGTTCTGAGTACATTTGATACTTTAAGTACATTTTGTTGATAATACCTTGGACTTAAGTAAGGTTTTGAGTGCAGGGCTTTT